TCATCCTGCACAGCAACGACAGCGAGGTGAGTATAGTACCCCACTATATTATCCTGTATAGTATCCAGTATAGTCTACCCGAAGCTGAAACGCGATAAGCCCTACTTAAATACGGCACGTCAGTACAGTACAGTACAGTACTGTAGTCTCCTCTGGCCTCCTGTCACATACCCTTGGGTGCCACTTATTTTGTTTCGTCGTTTTTGTTTCTGTTTCACTGATGACTGGAGTGCTGGCTGAGCTGAGCACTGGCATTCATTAGCATATTTCTCCCGGGAACGATGGCTGCGGAGTGCGGGTCCTGTCCCTGTTAACAAAGGACAAAGGACAAACAGTTTTATTATGCCGCATTAAAGGGTATTGCTACGCATGTGTTCCACAAATTGAATTCTCCACCGATTCGCCAATGTCCAACGATATTTGGCAATGTCTCGGCTTAATGACCGCCCATAAATCGTAATTGGGGCTCGCTCGACTGTGGCACGTTCGCCACGTTGCCAACAGCAATTATATCGGTGGAGTTCGGTTAATCGGGTTTTTATATCCGTGATTTGTAATTGATAAAAGGTATTTAACAGAAAGAAGAATGTGCACAAGGCCACACAATCAATGTCGATAATGCTATTTTTATGTGCATACAAACTATAAGTTCTTTCTTTTAATAATTATAACATGGTTTTGTAAAATTTTTAACGTTCTTTATATTTTACTTTTTATCTTTGGAGATCCCTTACACCATAAATAAATAAAAATTGCAAAATATTTTGTTTTAAAACTGAACCACCCCGCTATGAATCAACTTCAAAAAGTATCCACATCTGTGAACTTTGAAACTCTTGTCAGCTAATACAGAGGCGGCTATTAAACAAATTCCCCACCATCCAAAAAGCCATACATCATAATAAATGGCCAGTAGGAGACGCAGTTTCCAGTTATCTAGTTCTGTGTATCAATGCCCCTTGGCGCGCAAAAACACTATTTTTATTCATTTTCATATTTTGCACATTTTGTGTTTTTTATTTTTTGCGGGTTTCCCGTTTTAAGGGTCTGCGGTACAGTTGTTGCGGTTTTCACTACTTCGGTTTTGGTTTCGGTTTCGGTGTTTTGGCCCTGCCTATTTATAAGCGCGAACCTCATTAGTTTTAAGTGAGCGAAAGCTTAACTACTTGTTTTGAGTTTTGAATGAGGTCACTTTGCCCCTGCCCAGCCGTAGCTCATCATTTGAGTTATTTTTATTCAAGGCTGGCAGGAGGGACGGACACAACTATACACGACTCGTATATCCTATGCCACATATACTACTACTTTAGTACACACAGCCATTTACGAGCCAGAGATACGGACTTATAGATAACGAACAGAGGCGGAGAGGTAAACCAAGTTCAGATTCTATGCTGTTGAGTTCCGTTCAGTTCCGTTCAGTTCAGTTATCCTTCAGTTGAGTTCTATGGTGTCCCTGTTCATATCTGGTCTGGTTAGTTCAGTTCAGTTCGCCTCGCTGGACTGAGCCGGGCGCGTTATGTTTGTGGCTTAGGCAAACAGCTTCCGTTAAATGCTGCATAATTAGTTGCCATCTCCAGGTCCCATGCCTCCCCACCACCACCACCTCCTTTGACTTCCACATCCACCAGAGCCTCCTCCACCTTCGTATCCACGTCACATGGCAGGCGACAAGGGGCAAAGGTCGCACGCAATGTTTGCCTTTGCCGCTGCCTTTTGCTTGACCTACTTTGATGTGTGAAATGTCCCAAGAAGCACAGAGAAGCGAGCTGAAAAAAAAAATATATAAACAAGACAGGATGGTTATCCTGCGATTGCCACCGAGACATCTAATGCCCTTCCGGTTGAATCAACGATGCTTTCAGACCTACTACTGCAATTCTCGGACCGTGGCCAATGTTTCATTGGTTTTAAATTGTCCAACTAACGGCTGGGAAATCTATATATACTTTACTTTTCACTGGTGTAACTGTCACTTTATTTTTGGGAAAGTGCTTTTTCCTGTAACGGCTAGATGGCTTCAAACAGCTGTCAAAGGTTTTTCTATTAAAAGGAAATAAGTTAAATTGCTGCCATCGAAAATAAACATTTAATGATTTTTAGTTTCTGATTTAGTTCTGATTTTTGTACTTGAAATTTCTTTCTGGTCGTGAATCTGTTCATTCATGAAAGTAATAAAAGTAGTTAAGCCAGAATAAGTTGATAGTTTATAACGATGGAATTCACTCCATCATTATTTACTTTGCTTAAACTTTAATTAAAATTCTAATTGTCAGCTGCAAAGTTTTCAGCAAAATTAGCATACCCTCCGCCAGGGAAGAGAAAAAAGAGAAACTATTAAACTAGAGCGAGCGCTTATATCGTGGCATGCCTCGAGACCAGAAACCCGCACCTAAATCTAAATAGATGGTGGGAGTATGAACAGGATAATACTTATGCATAAACAGGGACTGGACATGAAAAGAAGAGGAAAAAAAAAACAATTAGAATGGTTGTTTACACGCGAACCACGTAAGAAATATGAAAATTGTCGTCGGAGGCAGGAAGAAAAGGGGGTTTTTGGGGAAAAGTAAGGGAAACGACAAGCAGTGAAAACGAGTTTGCCATGTAAATGAATGAATGGGAGAATGAATAACTGAATGAATGAATCATTTGTATGGTCAACGTGGATCCACGTATGTATATCACAACTTCCGAACCCTCATGTGGAAAAAAGAGCAGAGGAAGGGGCACATTTTCTTGAATTATTCATTGTCATGAATGAATCTTGTTTAATTGATAAATGCCATGGCACGGGGATTAATAAAAAGAAAAATGGAAAAATATCATCCAGGTGGAGACATAAATTAGCCAGGGGATTGAGTATGGAAATGAAACAAAGTTAATTACTTCAATTCGTGCCATAAATCAAGCAAAAAGCTTTTAAACAAGTTCTGAATTGTATTAAAAATGATATGTATTGATATTTGTTTATAATTTGATTTGATCGTAATTTAAATAGTGTTCAATTAATTTCAGTTTATAAACCATTTAATGGTTCGTTGAGCAACAATTGTTTTATTGAAGCATTAATTGACACATTTAACAATTATAATGTATTCAGTTTTCAAAATTACACTTACTAAAGCAAAGTGTCCATCAATTATGCAACTTAAAACTACACAAATTGATTACCTTAACAAAACAAGTGTCGTTTTCGATAATAAATTTCAATTTGATGGCCGCACCAAGGCATCAATTGCCGCACATGAATCACAAGGCAAATTAATCATTTCAATAATTATCTTTGAATGAAGACAGACACATAAATTACAGGAAACTCGCTATTAATAACTCCTTAAGGGCCGTTGCTCAGCATAAGCATAATCAATACTTCCCGACGGTCATGCCATCAAGTCGAAACCAATTTATGTATGAATATTTATCGACGAGTGACGGAGAATATAATTTTGTTGGCAACCGGCTAATACCATTCTATATTTTCCCCCTCCTCCTTTTTGGATAGTGTGAGCCCGGTTTGGGCGCCAGCGTGATGTACAATCTGCTCTATAATAAACCACAAAAACTAATGCTGCTGGCGGGTTGCAGTACGGTCTGCACAACTGTGGCCGAGGCTGCCAAAATGTGGAATCTCATTGTGGTAAGTGGTGGTTGCATAACGCGTAACCTGATATTCTGCATTGGAATAAACATTGTTCCCCTCTTCTACATTAGCTTTGTTATGGGGCCTCGAGTCCGGCACTTTCGGATCGCAAACGGTTTCCCACGCTATTCCGCACCCATCCATCGGCCACGGTGCACAATCCCACTCGCATCAAACTAATGAAGAAGTTCGGCTGGTCAAGGGTGGCCATTCTGCAACAGGCCGAGGAGGTCTTTATATCGGTATGGAATAAACCTTTTTCCATAAGTATTTCCTATATTAAATAAACTAATTACAGACCGTGGAGGATCTCGAGAATCGATGCATGGAGGCTGGCGTTGAAATCGTAACTAGACAATCATTTCTTTCCGATCCAACAGACGCCGTGCGCAATTTGCGACGCCAGGATGCACGCATCATTGTGGGACTCTTCTATGTCGTGGCCGCCAGAAGAGTTCTCTGCGAAATGTACAAACAGCAGCTATATGGCAGAGCCCACGTATGGTTCTTCATAGGTGAGTTTACAGAAGCATTAAAAGCAGCGAAAATATGCAGGCTTTCAATGATTTAAAATATTATACGACTTAGTTTTGTTATCCCTTTATCTGAATTGACTCCTTATCTCACATCTCAACTATTATTTTAGGCTGGTACGAGGACAATTGGTATGAGGTCAACCTGAAAGCGGAGGGCATCACCTGCACTGTAGAGCAAATGCGAATAGCTGCCGAGGGCCATCTGACAACAGAAGCTCTCATGTGGAATCAGAACAATCAGACAACTATATCTGGAATGACTGCAGAGGAATTTAGGTAAGTTTTTGTTTAATACTAAATACGTTTCTTAATTAATATACTTTAACTTTAAACAGACATCGACTGAATCAGGCGTTAATCGAAGAGGGTTACGACATTAATCACGATCGCTATCCGGAGGGTTATCAGGAGGCTCCCTCTCGCCTACGATGCTGTATGGAGTGTGGCTTTAGCTTTTAACAAGACTATGGAACGATTGACGAGCGGAAAGAAATCTTTGAGGGACTTCACCTATACGGACAAGGAAATTGCCGATGAAATCTACGCTGCCATGAACTCCACACAGTTTCTGGGTGTCTCGGTAAGATTGCAATATTAATTATTTTGAAAATAATTTAAATTTAATCGAATAAACATATATTTCTAGGGTGTAGTGGCATTCAGTTCTCAGGGCGATCGTATTGCACTTACTCAAATCGAGCAGATGGTGAATGGAAAGTACGAAAAGTTGGGCTACTACGATACCCAGTTGGATAATCTGTCCTGGTTGAATACCGAACAATGGATTGGTGGCAAGGTAAGCATATTAGTCAACTTTGGAATATCATTCAAGTCGGTGCCTATACTAAAATATAAAAAATGTCTGACGAAAAAGAAAAGGAAAAAGAAACTCCCAAGGATATTTCAGATGATACTGGAAAGGAAAGAAAATCAATAAGGGTTTTAGATCCATCAGTTAGCTTTTTTCAGAAAGATGACGAAGCCAATGCGGGAACGTCTCCTTCAAAATCCAATAAAGAACCTCCTAACGTGGCACCGAAACCAAGGAAACCTTCAATAAGGGTATCAGTCTCTGAACCTGAAAAAGACACAGTACACAAAAAGAAACTGAGGAAAAACCGGGCTTCTCAAAATCATTTGAAACCAATAAAGGCAGGCAATCCGAAACAAAAGATGGTAATACAAGCACTGATAAAAAGAAAGACCGACAAGGTTCAAAGCATTCAATAGGATCTGTACATAGCAAGTCGCATCTTGATGATAAAAATCGACAAGGATCTGTAGCTAGAAAATCATATATTGAAGATAAAAATTACCAAGGACCTGTTCTTAGGCAATCACATCTTCAAGACAGAAATCTCCAAGGAAAACATCAAGAAAGACCTTCAAGCGGACCACAAAAGTACAATGAACGAGAACATATAACTTATTCAAGAAGACGAAGAGAACCATTTGATGGATTCGATAAGGAAAAGTACCTAGCAGATATGATTGATTATGAGCGCTCATCAGAGACAAACTTTTCTTCAAATAGGCCAGAAAATAGGGAAAACTGGATGCCAGATAGCGCTCTTCGACATCGTTTTGGCAGCCGGCATAAATTTAATACAACCTCAAGCCTTTTGGACGAAGAGGGAGAGGAAGAAGATCCTGATTTATATTCAATTGGATCATCAACCATGAAGGGTAGCACTCGCTCACATAACGACGATCGTTCCACGTTCCTAGCTGAAATAATCAATATGGGAAAGTTGAAGGAGTTGAAGGATCAACGCGTATCAACTGCAGATTATCTTAAGCAACGCAGAGCTGACCAAACCATCGATGAGATAAAAGGTTCCAAGACAACTGGAACTGGCAGAAATCATGTCGATGAAATAAAATGGAAAGAAACCTTTAGTGATAGTAGTGACGATGACGATGATGCCAGGTTTAAAAACAGAGGCACCATCACAAAAATCTTTTGTCTTGCCCAAAGAGCTGAAGAAAATCCAAAAGAAAATGAGGATCAAAAAGAAGATAACAAGGATGTCAGCAAGGATAAGAAGCCTCCCACAGAACCAGAAATAGAATTGGAGGCCAAAAAACCTTGGAGCTTTCCCATCACGGAAACATTTTCTGAGATCCCTGGAGAAAAACAGACACTGGACGAAAAAAAGCTAATCAAAATAGGAAAGAGAAACAGGAAAATCAGAGCTATTGGAGTTAATACTTATATAAGTAGAAAACCCCAAAAAGTAGAGAGCATGCCAGGAATTGAAGAGGGAATTATTCACGATGATGGAAAACTGCGTGATATAGGACAAGTCACTGAAAGGCGGCACAAGCATCGCAATTATAAATATAAAACCGAAACAGACGATCAACCCATAGAAATAGGACCCTTGGATGATCGAGTTAGGGAAATTGGAGTTAATACTAAAGTCCTTCCAAAAACCAAAGATCCACCAATTTCTGAGATGTACGAGCATCCGGGAAATACTTTAAGAAATTTTGGAACCAACACAGATAAACCTTTTAGGCCAATTGACGACGGAACTGAAGTTATCTACTCAACACCTTTTAAGTATGATGAAAAGAAATTGAATGATCTCATTGTGGATCCACCGATATATGATAACCCTTACAAGCTGCCGACAAAGGACGAAGGACGTCCTTATTATAAAGGCTGTGAATACCATTTTCCGGGCAGAACTGGTTGGCGTCGCCTCTTCTACAATAATACCTATGGAAAATATGAATTACGCCGTGGAAGTCACTGGTTCTATACACTGATTTTTGCCATATGCTACATTGCATTTGTTGTTCTTTTTTCCATGGCCTGGTTTGATTACCTCACAAATGATGCTACAAATGATGCACCCAAGTCAAAAATGCACGCGCCAGTTATGACTTTTACTCCGATTGGACCCAGAACTAATCCCAAAGGGATCTCATTCGATCCACAGAATGAAACTGAGACCATGGAAAAGAATGCCGCGATAATGGCTCTGTTGGAAAAATATGGCGATTCTGGTCATAATTTTCGATTTGGACCTTGTAATGCCCACGAAAAGTTTGGATATCCCAGTGGTGAACCGTGTGTTTTTCTGAAAGTAAATCGAATAATAGGCTTTAGAACCGAACCATACGTTGATTCCGATGAGCTTGTGAATGCCAAAGTTAGCGAGGATGAATTTTTGGCTTTGAGAAGCCTTTTGGAGAATGCTACTTCCAAGGAGGATCGTGAGAACCGTACTTGGATTACTTGCCAAACGGAAGAGAACAAGAATATTCAAATAGAATTCCATCCAGAAGCGGCAATCCGAACGGAATACACCGATATTAAAGAGAAAATCGAGTACGTTGGGGATAAAAATAAGAAATCCTTCTTTGGCCCAAATGATCTAAATAGAGTTGTGGCTCTGAAGATTAAAAATCTAAAGCCAAACGAGCGTATCTATGTGAAATGCAAAATGTGGGCTCATAATATCAAGCACAATCAAAAGGGTTTTGGTCAGGTTTCGTTTTATGTTTTATTAGCTACAGATAGAAATCGTGAAAAGGTGGAAAAAGTTCTCAGATACCATGAAACATTGTAATGAAAATATTATTTTTTGTTAATAATACTTTTAATAAATGAATACATTAATATGTTTTTATATGTTACTCTAGGTTCCTCAAGATCGCACAATTGTCACGCACGTTTTACGCACAGTGTCCTTGCCATTATTTGTGTGCATGTGCACAATCTCCAGTTGCGGCATCTTTGTCGCCTTCGCCTTGATCATCTTTAATATATGGAATAAGCATAGAAGGTAGATAATTTACACATACTTAAGATCCTTCAGCATCACTCAGTTCCTTCAAAATTCCAGAGTAATACAATCCTCGCATCCCGTTTGCAATACGATAATGTTATTTGGTGTCATCATCTGTCTCATATCTGTCATCTTACTGGGTATCGATGGACGCTTTGTCAGCCCCGAGGAATATCCAAAGGTAACTGAATAATATATACATATATTAAACAAATATATTTTAAATGGTTTTTTCCATTAGATATGTCAAGCGAGAGCTTGGTTACTATCCACCGGTTTTACATTAGCATACGGTGCTATGTTCAGCAAGGTCTGGCGTGTGCACCGATTTACAACAAAAGCAAAAACTGACCCGAAGGTAAAGCTACCAATTAAAAGGCAAATGAATTAATTAATCAACACATTGTAATTGCAGAAAAAAGTGGAACCTTGGAAGCTATACACCATGGTTTCGGGCCTCTTATCAATAGATTTAGTGATATTACTCTCATGGCAGATCTTTGATCCGCTGCAGCGTTATCTCGAAACATTCCCACTCGAAGATCCAGTATCTACTACTGATGATATTAAAATACGTCCAGAGCTTGAGCATTGTGAAAGTCAACGCAACTCCATGTGGTTGGGTATGTTTTTAATCAGTTTCTTTAGGAAATTTATGTTACTATTAATTAATGAATTATCCCTTCTAGGTCTTGTCTATGGCTTCAAGGGACTAATCCTGGTGTTTGGTCTATTTTTGGCCTACGAGACGCGGTCCATTAAAGTGAAACAGATCAACGATTCGCGATACGTGGGCATGAGCATCTATAATGTGGTCGTCCTCTGTCTGATAACAGCTCCGGTGGGCATGGTCATTGCATCGCAGCAGGACGCATCCTTCGCCTTCGTTGCTCTAGCTGTGATATTCTGTTGTTTCCTAAGCATGCTGTTGATATTTGTGCCAAAGGTGTGGTCCTTTCCATTCGTATGAGAATAACATAATCTGAGTGCTCTTTCTATTTAGGTCATTGAGGTCATACGTCATCCCAAGGACAAGGCAGAATCGAAATACAATCCCGATTCGGCCATATCAAAAGAGGATGAGGAACGCTATCAAAAACTTGTTACCGAAAATGAGGAACTGCAACGATTAATAACACAGGTAAGTTAAAGGGTTTGGCCTGCTTTTAAATAGAGACCGTTAAGTAACAGCTTAAAGCAAGTCTATAAAATTGAAAACGTTCTCATAGGAACATTAAGAATTAAGTGTATTCACCTTGGCAATCAAGAGTGAAACCACCAACCACCGCCATGCTCGGCTGCACTTTTGTTTCTTTATAAGTTGTTATCACGATCATAAGTCAAGAACTTTTTATCTATGTTCAAATTAAGGTAGTCTGTTCCAATTGAAAGATTTAATCATTCTAATGAAGATGCCTTCTGAAACAATTTCGTTAGTGAACTAAAGTATATATAGCAATCATGAATTGATAAGAAAACATTTCGGTTCTCTCACAGACACCATTTATGATAAGAACGAAGTAGATTAGAGCTGACTTGAAAGAGGTCATGATGACTATATTACTTCATATATAAAGTAAAATTTTGTATTTGCCATTGCAGAAGGAGGAGAAGATACGAGTCCTGCGACAGCGGCTTGTGGAACGGGGCGACGTGAAGGGCACAGAACTGAATGGTGCAACAGGTGCCGCCGCCGCCGCTGTGGCGACAACTTCGCAGCCAGCTTCCCTCATCAACTCATCCGCACATGCCACACCCGCAGCCACACTCGCAATCACACAAGGTGAGTGTTGAAGGGGCAAGATCCCATTCCTTCCAAATTCCATGTAGCCAGTTGCATGTGGTTCTCTCGATATATATTATATTAGCATCGTTGGTTTAGCTTGGCGTTCATAATCGTAATGTTCTCAATTTTAATTAGAAATTTTAGCTATTTTCGTGGGCATTGACACAATTGATTAGGAACAACCGTAAAAATGGAGTTCAAAGGTTATTTGTTCATGTTAATGCTACGTAAACTCACTGTCGGCACTTCACTTTTTAAATATTTTTGTTGTTTTCAAACTGCATTTAGATTTTAAAAAACGCACAATTTAAAATGTACATAAGTATTTGTAATATTCGTGTTGTGGTTTAATGTAAGCACATACTTTTATAAATTTTATAAATTTAATTTTCTCTAACAAAGCACGATTTGATTAACCTCTCTAACTGTGTACCTTTACATAAATCCTAAACTAATTCAGAATATATTTATCTTACAGATACTCATGAGCATCGTACATGAAAAAACTTGTCAATTTCCTTTGCGTGATAGGTGAATTATACAGAAAATATGAAATGCAAATAATGATGCTTACGAAGGATGGAATTAATAAAAAACACGTACTTAATAAACTTTGTATCAACTTTAAGCTGAGCTAAATAAGTGAATTGGTAGCAGCAATTTTGTAGAATAATGAAATATGTATTGTACCTTAAACGTGTTTAGAATTAATATTAAAAACGAAATACTTTTAACTTAAAAAAAAAAAAAAAAACAAAAAACGACATTAGCATCTGAACTAAGCGAATTGTTAGGCTTTAAAGTTGAAACACAAAAACCAAAAATTCTAGTAAGTCAGAAAAAAAAACCTAAAATACAAATCATGTTAAAGTTAGTAAATTTTTAAACGCCGGAAAGGGAAAACCAATTGTTGTGTTTTTAGTAAATACTGTTCTTGGGTTAAGAGAATTTTGTTTTTAGACCTATGTTGCTCACTGCTGTCTCCTAGAGCTCTCTATATATATATTAAATCTGAATAGATGAAAACCACCCAAATGGCGGCCTTCTCCCGATTCTTAGTTTTTATTTACGTGTCTTTTCCGAACCAGGTCGCGGCAATACAAACCAAACTCCTAGACTCCGGGAATCAAATTTCGGAATCCTGTTCTTCTCGATGGGGTTGTCGGTTTGATTCCCAATATGTTAGCTAAGTTAGCTTTAGGCACTTTGTATAGATACATGTGTGTATGTGACGTATAAGTGTGCACTCGATAAGAAGTTTTAATAGTTTACATTTCAGCAAATCGTAAATAGCACAAATCGAATGGAAAGTCTAGTAAATATTAGATAATGAAAGGATATGTATACATTTAGCATAGATTAGTGTAGCATCAAAAGTTATTATTATATTATGGGTGGGTTAAGTGAAGCTCAAGAAACGTTTTAATTTTTATGTACTGTTATACATAGACAAATTAAATGGTAATGAGAAATTTTTGAACCTACTGTAAGTTCTAAAATCGCATTTATAAAGTATATATATTATACACAGGAAATGAAGAGAAACCGAGAAACATAATTGAGGGCGTCGTTATATAGGAATTGACTTTATTTAAACTAAAACTAAACTGAAGCCTATTAACAAAATGATTAACTCACTCACTTGCATAACATACTAATCACTCACTAACTCACCCTTCTACAAAGTCGAACCTTTTAAATTTCAATCACTCTCACATTCAAATTAACGAAATGAAGTAAAATCCATCACGAAAAGTGCTATAAGAAACATACATAGACAACATCAAATTCCTACGAAATGAAAGACTTTAAAATCTAAGCCGTTAAATAAAATGAAAACCAAGCGAAAGAAATGAATACTATACACACGATAAACAATGATTATATATATAAATATTGAAATATATATATATGAAATTTACAAATGGCAAAGAACATCTCTAGTACGATACATTGATATTTGTTAAGGATCGTTGGAATTTGTAGCTTAATTGGATTGTATTTCTTATACATATAGGGAACGCTGTTAGGGTAGACGTGTAACTCGAGATCATGTATATTGTATATAGAGCATTTAGCTGCGCCTCCTAACCACTAAAAAGAAAATACAAGCCACAACAGCAACAAAATCTACAAATGCAACAATTTAATCGACATTTATTTTTGAATCCGAATCAATTATTTGCTTTTGTCCTCAAATCACAGCCGAACGAAGAACTTTTAGTAAAGTAAGACACAGTTTAGCCAAGCTAATTGTTGTATAAATACGAGTAAATAGAAAAAGCAAAGTTTAAATAAATCCAGATTTATTTCAAAAGAAAACACAAAAAAAGTGAAAATCTACTGTTAGTGACAAAATAAATTTGAACCACAAAAAATGGTAGCAGTATGCAGGAAAAACAAAAGGTCAAAGTAATGAAAAACTCGGTATGTTCTTATGAATGTAACATTAACGAATTAATTTAAAGTTTAATAAAACGGAATAAATGAGAATTTTACTGAATAAAAAACACAAAACAAAATTCAACGGATATTTAAGTATTATTTTATTGGTGGAACTTAGTATGCGAATGAAATTAAATTTAAAGCCAAAGGTAACATGATTAAATTACAAGTTCATTTGCTCAAAAATATTCAGTCTTAATATTTTGACATCTTTCACAAAATTTGTTTCTTAAAATGCAAATCGTTCTTAAAAGCAAACATTTTATTTTGCACCCCACTCGTGCCGTATTTTAATGAGGGAATCAATAACCTTTATTCATTAAATCAATGCCTGAATTCTTTATGCAATTTAAATAATTATTTTGAAAATTCCTTACATGGGTTGAGTTAAGAAATCTGCAAGTCGCGCATTTAGAGAATTTCTTATTTTTTATTTGGCTTATGGATACAACGCTTAGATGCTGACTTATATTTTCGGGTTCACTGCACATTTGATTAGGGTATTTTTAAAGTATTGCCAAATGAAGTCAACATCTTTTGCCTTCCGCTTATATTGCTAATTTTAACCCCCAACCCAGAGCAGTTTCCATTAACATCCAGCCGGGTGTTTGTTATAACAGATTATGACACTACAAGATTCGATCTCTGAGAATCGAGCTTTAAGCTCCCATCGAATTGGGTCCAAGCCAACATATTAAGCCCGACTCCGAGCCAAGCTCTTGCAGTAAGTGTACTCAACTCGAACCGAACGGAGGTAACTAAAGCGAAAAGTTCATCAAACCGAGATACCGAATTACCCAAAAAATGAACCCGATGGGAATGGTGAGTCTGGGCCTGGCTTTGTGCCTGATCGTTGGCTTCAGCCGGAATGCATCGGCCAAGCTGGAGGAGAGGTTCTCGTGGAAGCAGCTGGCCTTCGATTGGCCAACTCCAGAGGCCGAGGCGGAGGCCAAGTCGAATGGCCACTACATCATGGAGAACAACCTGCCACTGGGCGTGGAGCGTTGGCAGAACAAAATCTTTGTCACTGTGCCAAGGTAAATTACCATATTCATAACCGAAAAAAAACCCCCAACAACAACTTTGTTATTATCGCTAGTTACCTTTCCTTTTTTTATATTTACCTTTTTTGTTGGATTTAATTGTAATTAAATGTCAAGCTAGACTTGCAAAATCATCGAGCGTCAAGAGGGGAAACCGGTTTCTTCGTTGTCTAGTTAACTTTATCATTTTTTTTCCTTTGTGTGAAATCTATTTTGCATTTCAAATCGTGGTTTCTAAATGCAAATCTTCGTATGAAGTTAATTATAATTTAATAAGAGAAAACACACGATCGGAAAATTCTATGGAAAATAACTGATCCCAAGAAACTAGTAAACACAAATCACTTTGTGACGTCAACTCTTTCGGGGCTTACCCAAGATGCGCGTAATGGCCAAAAAGTCCCAAAAACAAATCACTTTTTCGGGAGCTATGAGTAACCGAATACTTAAAATAACAAACAAATCATATCAGTGAGGCATGGCATGAATATAAACTTTATCAATCTACCTGTGGGTACTTAAGTCTATAAACAAGATTCAGCAACATGAATACATTATTTTTGTTTGTCCTATTTATTACCCAAACATAAAAACTTAGGTAAACTAGTTATTCAGTTATTACAGTTGCTTATAAAATAAATAAGTTTGAAGACCTCAGCAATCAAATAAACCTAGCAATTACAAATATTGAATTCAAAAGATCACGATCCTTAATTATATACTCAATAAGACAAAGTTCAAAAAGTCTTAATAAAAGCAAAAACGATATCCGAACAGGTAAATTTAAGTACATTTGCAAGTCCCTCTACACTTATTATATTTCGAACCGATTAGGTAAATACATTTTTATAATATCGTGCATCCATAATCTTACTTCCTTATCTTAAATTATTCCCCTTCTAATAATATTCTACATATATAAACATTTTAGATGGAAGGCCGGTGTTGCTGCCACCCTGAACTACATCGATCTAAACTCAACTGAGAAGTCGCCGAAGCTTCACCCGTATCCCAGTTGGGAGGCCAACAAGCTGCCTATTGATGTTAAGCCCCAGGATCAGAAGACACCTTCGGGTGGACGATTGGATGCCGACAAGGCTCAAGATGCCGGCGTTCAGTTGAAGGACAACTCGACCATCATTTCCACTTTCCGAATCCAAGTTGACGTGTGCGATCGTCTGTGGGTTCTTGATACCGGTCTTGCCGACATCCTTGGCAGTCCCAAGCAGATTACACCGAATTCCATTCTGGTCTTTGACCTGAAAACGGATAAGTTGGTCCGTCGTTTTACGATTCCCGCAAGTCAAACCAAAGATGACTCATTCTTTGCGAATATTGTAAGTGAAAATTAAGTTGCCCTGTGGTTAAGAAACTGATAAATATATTTCACATTTAGGTTGTGGATGCTGACCGCTCGGAGTGCCAGGATGCCTTTGCTTATATTCCGGATTTGGGAGCATATGGTGTGATCGTGTATTCACTGAGGAACGACAAATCGTATCGCGTGAAGCACAACTTCTTCCACTTCGATCCGCTGCAGGGAGACTTCAATGTGGGCGGTGTGAACTTCCAGTGGACGGATGGTGTTTTCGGCCTGGCCGTGGGTCCCATGAATCCGGATCACTCCAAGGACATTTACTTCCATGCTTTGGCCAGTACCAAGGAGTTCAAGGTTTCCAACCGCGTGCTGCAGAACGAAACGCATGTAACAGGCGGCGATTCTTACTACGACTTTAAATACGTTGGAGATCGTGGAATGAACGGCCAGTCCACCGCCGAGGTCTTTGATCCCGAGACCGGCGTCATCTTCTATACGCAGGTGAACAAAGACGCCATCGCTTGCTGGAACATTAAGCGTCCATATACTCCGGACACCCAGGGACTGATCGATTCCGATTCGCACACTTTGGTCTTTCCCAATGACATGAAGATCGACAATGAGGGAACCATTTGGGTGCTCTCTGACAAGATGCCGACGTATTTGTACAAGGAACTCGATCCCGCGGCCGTCAACTATCGTATTTTGATGGGCCAGAACCGCGATCTCATCAAGGGTACACCATGCGAAATGTGAGCAGTTGGATATTTGAATCTACATGTTTTATGACGCGGTGCATTTTTGTATTTACATTATGACATAATTGTTTGTTAGTAAGTCAGCTTAATAAACTATTTGAAATGTGATTGCTTGGATGTGGTACCATGGTTAAATGTCGGATTTCAGTAGATTTCCACCGAGTTGCACCTTCTCGCCGGGCTTAAAGGCAGGCATACCCAAATAGGGGCAAGTAGAGCAGCGGAAGGCGTCGCCCAGATAGCACTGTTACAAAAAACCGGTTATAATAGCAGGAATGATAAATAAATCTAGGATCTTACGTTTCCACAGCTAGACTTGGCGTTTTCGGTGGCCTTCTGGCTTTGTTTTTCAGTCTCCAACTCCTCGGCCAAGCCACATGAGCAATTCTTGCAGGCCTTACGTTTGCCGGTGGTGCTGCAGACACGCAAACCAGCCGGGTCCGGTTTTTGTTTGTCCTCCTCGTCCAAAAGATCCTCCTCATCGATTAGCTCCTCGTCGTCGCCGCTAATCTTCCAAACATTCACTGCGCTGGTATTTTTCTTGGCAAAGGACAGTCTTGCTGAAGAGCCGGTTTCATAACCAGGTTTCTCAGCTGTCAAGGCATCCTGGGCATCCTCTCGGCAGTTGATGAATCCAGACAACTTAACTTCTTGCAGTAGGCTGGCTGCCGGCCCAATGAAGGAAACCAAGTGGAGTTTGCCACTCGGCTTCAGCATGTGCAGCAGCTTTACGTAATTGTCGGTCAGTTGGGCGCATTCGATTACGATCAGGTCGAAACTGGAGTTGGCATAGGAGGCTAGAATGGATGTAAGTCGTCGAATATATTTTGCTGACTCATTCGCTAGACAGAAAAAAACACAAACCGCAGGCAACTTACAAAACGACAGGCGGTGCACATTTTCCAGAGCAACATCGCCGCCGGTAGCCGACTTTAGTTGCTCCACACGCTTGTCCAAATCAGCGCTGTCCGTCCATATATACAGCGATTTCTGAAGACCCTTGAATTGCTCCATTCTCTCCGGAATTTCTAGAATATGTTAAAAGTTCAAGCACCGCACCAATGTTTGACTTCACAACAGTGTGACCGCGCAGGAGAACGACCAGAAAAAATACCAATTTAGCTATTAAAAATACCATTAACTTTTAACAAATTAGATATGACAGAACGGCGAGAAGTTATCGGTGGTATCAATTGTTAGGGGTGGTATTGCGCGGAGTGGCATGTTATTGAAGTGAACATAATTCATATTTTTTAATACTAAGGCTTAATATAAGGCTTGCATATAAGTTTTAATAAGCTCAGCTTACCTTTTAGTTAGCAGAAAAGAACTCCCTTCATTTTTAAGCATATGTACATTCCCACGACCCGTTTCAAATATGCATGAGCCAGTTTAAAGGAGGCTAAGAGTCTTGCATTTTAAATGAGTGCGCCCGAAATCGATATCTTAAAGTACTAAACGAAAATCGAATCAAGATGATTTTAAATGAATAAAACCTATTTTATGTGAGAATTGGGTTTAAAAAGATAGTTTTCAACAACAACTTATTACATTTACAGACAAACCAATTACGAAAACTTCAAATACTCATTGAGCTAGATCCCTCTAACTAGCTATAAAAGGGCTGATGGGTCAACCCAACCCCAACCCAGTGTTGTGAAACGGCGAGCATATGGCCGGTTGGATTGTAGCATATTATAAATATAACTCGAGCGCTATTTGCAGCGTTAAACAGAAGCCAGCCGCTAAGACCGCTAGTCGCTAGTCTAGATCCGCTTTAAAATAAAAACTAGTTATTTAGTGAACGCAACTAGCCGCAGGTCCAGCCACAACAAAAACAACGCCGCGACTAAGAGGAAGAGAAGTGCGTGAGAGAAACGACAGCTGCTCTGCGTGTGTGTTGGTGCAGGATAACAATACAAAACATACAAAAACAACAACGACAACAAGAGCGAGCAGTGTCAAAGTGCCAAAAGAATTTGCCAAATAAAAAGAAAAATTAGTAAACCGAACGGACAACCGCTTCAAATTTCAACCAGAGTTCAATGCAAAGACATGTGCATAAATGAAGAGCTACAGCCAATTTAATTTAAACGCCGCCGCCCCGCCCGCCATTGCATACGACAATTCAGTTGTAAATCCAAACGGTTCGCCTTTAGATCAGCAACAACAACAACAGCAACAACAACAAGCGCAGCAGCAGCAGCGCCAGGACATGCCGCACTTTGGACTGCCCGGGGGCCCTCAGCCGCCGTCGACGCAGCAACAACAACAACAACAACTGCAAGTGCACCACCAACAGCAGCAACAACAACAACAGCAGCAGCAACATCAACAACAAATGCAAATGTCCTTGCTGCCGGGTCCTTATCGGCCTCACATCGAGGAAAAGAAGCTCACGCGGGACGCCATGGAGAAATACATGCGCGAGCGCAACGACATGGTCATTGTGATCCTGCATGCCAAGGTGCGAAGTGGGGAATCCTTTGGGAAAAACAATTTAAGCCAGGAGAATATTCACTTGGGGATCTTAAATACCTATTTAAAGAAAATTTAAATTAAAAATTTTGAAGAAGAATCCCAGGGTCTTTTAAACGTTTGTTACATTTTTTTATTTTAAAAGCAAGGAAATATAATTTTTTTTGATTAAGAAATTAGAATTGTTTTCTTACTTTGCACAGAAGAACGAAGAAATAACTAGCCTTTTCAAAATGTCCTTATCCTTTTATTGGTAGCCGTTCAACCAAATGATTAATTTTCCAAAACTAAACTTACGTCTAATCGGTCAATCCGAACCACAAACCACACCCCCAATTTAAAGGTGCTAGTGTTTCTGTTGTCCAGTTTAAAGTGTTACATTTTTGCGGTTTTTAACGAAGGCAGACAAAAAAAAAATGGAATAAAATTGTCGCGGTTGCTTTTAGCTTAGCGGTGGCGATCTTCAAGCGGCGACTGCCGCCAAATGCGAATCCTTCACACTCGACTGCCCGCAAATTGAGCAACGCGAGCCCGGGTCCAGTCCGCAAATGAAAATAATTGAAATTAATTACAGAAAATTAACAAAGCTGCATTGCTTGCGGTTTTGATATGATTTGCCGATAATCTGGATGCCAATTTGTACTAATTGAATTTCCCTGCACTACGGTGTTTTATCTGTGTGGATTCCAGGTGGCCCAGAAGTCCTACGGCAATGAGAAGCGTTTCTTCTGCCCGCCGCCGTGCATCTATCTTTTCGGAAGTGGTTGGCGTCGGCGGTACGAGGAGATGTTGCAACAGGGCGAGGGAGAGCAAGGAGCACAGCTCTGCGCCTTCATTGGAATCGGAAGCAGTGACCAGGACATGCAGCAGTTGGATCTCAATGGCAAACAGTACTGTGCGGCCAAGACGCTCTTCATCTCAGATTCGGATAAGCGAAAACACTTCATGCTGTCGGTGAAGATGTTCTACGGCAATGGCCACGACATTGGCGTTTTCAACTCGAAAAGGATCAAGGTGATATCCAAGCCGTCCAAAAAGAAGCAGTCCCTGAAGAATGCCGACCTGTGCATAGCGAGCGGCACCAATGTTGCCCTCTTCAATCGCCTGCGTTCCCAAACCGTGTCCACCCGTTATCTGCATGTGGAGAACGGTCACTTCCATGCCTCGTCGACGCAATGGGGTGCCTTCACGATACACCTGCTGGATGACAACGAGTCCGAGTCGGAGGAGTTCCAAGTGCGCGATGGTTACATTCATTACGGAGCCACGGTGAAGTTAGTGTGCTCCGTTACGGGCATGGCCCTGCCACGTCTGATTATTCGGAAGGTGGACAAGCAGATGGCCTTGCTGGAGGCCGATGATCCCGTCTCGCAGCTGCACAAGTGCGCCTTCTACATGAAGGACACGGATCGGATGTACCTATGCCTGTCGCAGGAAAAGATCATTCAGTTTCAGGCCACTCCCTGTCCCAAGGAGCCCAACAAGGAGATGATCAATGACGGCGCTTGCTGGACCATCATCTCCACCGACAAGGCAGAGTACCAGTTCTACGAAGGCATGGGACCTGTGGCGTAAGCATAGTTTTTTCCGGCAAACTAGCAGCCGCTATAACATCGTATAAATTCCTTTTAGTTCCCCAGTCACTCCAGTGCCAATTGTGAATTCACTGAATCTCAATGGTGGCGGTGATGTGGCCATGCTGGAGCTCAGTGGCGACAACTTTACGCCGCATCTGCAGGTGTGGTTCGGCGATGTGGAGGCAGAGACCATGTATCGCTGCACGGAAACGTTGCTGTGTGTGGTGCCAGAGATTTCCCAGTTCCGCGGCGAATGGCTTTGGGTAGGTTTTCTACAGGAATATTCTTTATTTAAAAATTAACTAATATTTTTTTTGCAGGTTCGACAACCCACACAAGTACCCATTTCGCTGGTTCGCAACGATGGCATTATCTATGCCACTGGTCTGACTTTCACATACACACCTGAGCCGGGACCTCGTCCGCATTGCAACACCCAGGCCGAGGATGTTATGCGGACGCGACAGAACAATAATAATAACAACATCACTAGCATTAGCAACAACAATAACAGCAACAATGCGGGATCACCGGCCGGCGGGAGTATGCAACAACCACAGCAGCATCAGGCGCTGCCCTCCATCTCAGAAGTGCAATGGAATAGTCATGGTAGCGGCTTGTCCTGAGTGCAGGATTATTGCATCGCACATTTATGTATCTTAAGTTATTTATAGTTTTTATTGGAGACCTTAGTTTGTAGATTGACGATTTTTCTCATACTTATTTTCCACCTCTCATGACGTGAAACAAACTGTGTCCCCTCCTCTCTAAAGTGAATCATCCTATATACATGTTTCTAGTGCTAGTTCGGAACCAATAGATTTGTAAATGCCTCATACAACTTTGTACATAATTCGAAAAAGCTCACTGACATATATATATTTGTATGTGCATGAATATACATCTACACAGAACATATAATTCTAGTTAAATATACAATTGATGTAAGTTTATAGAAGATTTTTAGCTGCGGTTAAAATATTTATGATTTTATTTGCTATGAATTTCTAAGGGCTGTCAAAGGTCAAAAAAAGTACTGCGAAATGTACCAGAAAACCTATGCTCGCCTTGAAAAATGCCAGCAAGTAGCCATGCTACATAAAAACATTCCATTTCACCCTCAAACTTTCCATGAAGTCAAAGACAAAGTCAAAAGGGAAACTTTTTTCTGTACATAGAATTTTGTTGCATTTTTTAATTCCAACTCTTTGGAAATTCATAGCACAGAAAGTCCAATCAAATATTTTGTAAAATATAATCGCAAAAAGACAAAGCAGCGATTTATTAACGTCTAAGCGACAAGTCCAACATTAATAAAAGAAAGAAGGAAATCCGAAATTATGACAAAGAAAAAACAACCAAATCATGTCAGTTTATGTTGTTGATTTAACGTGGTTACTCTGTTCACCAATTTTGGTTAGCATGAGGTGGAGAGCTGGGGGAGAAATGGTAGCCTTAAATTGCTGTGGGAATATGGCCCAGTATCGTGTGAATATTTTTAAACAAAACAAGTGCAGCTCTTCCCACGATGACTTGCCTCAACCCCCTTGGCGGGGCCGACTTTAATTATAGTTTGGTCTGGAATTGCCGAACGCCAAGTTAAGAAGCAAATATACATAGATATATAACACTATTGTTTCCGTTTTGGCCAAGCTAAGGAGCAGAATTTTCTCACAGCCCAAAAAGCCGCTGCCGAGCTGCTGTGAGAAATTTTACTACCTTTTGTTGAATATTTATGCATTCGCTGCTGCTGCCGCCGCCTTCCTTACAGATTTACAAATTAAGATTCGCAGTTTTTAATTAATTATCGCTTACTTCCGCTCGGCGAAATCAGAAAAGTGAGCTGGCCAAGCATTCAAACTCATCTCACAGTTGGGAGACACATTTCTTATCAGAGTCAGCCAATAGGAACTTGGTTGCAACCCCTAAGAATTTATTGCACCATGCGATGGGAACGAAAGACTCAAACGACGAACTTCTTTGCGTGAGGAAAACTGGGCCCTTTTATGATGATGGAAAAACCACCACCAAAAGTTCCGAGCCCCGCAATTGGAACTGCAACCTCTTAAGGTCGTCGCCGTCTTATAAGAAGCTGAATATGAAATTAGTTTGGAATTTTTAATGAACAATTCCTTTCCATTTCCCCGGCCCCTTTTTCTCCCCCGCCATTCGGACAGGTGAGTGTGCGATGATTGTGGTCGCTTATAGAAAGGGGGAGACGGCAATTTCTAAAAGTTCTCAGGACTGATACACAACTTCATACCGACAACTAAAAAAGTTAATTATCTTGAAAAATCTAAGTCTACCTGCCGTCTTCAGTCGTTTGCCTGCTGCTGACTGCTGCCGTTTTTCACACGCTGGGGAAAAATGGAAATTCTCGCAAAATACAATGCGTGGGAAATCGGTGGCGTGGGAGTCAGCCAAGAAAATCAAGGGAAACTATATGTGCAAGTCCTATATAAATTTGTATTCGCAAGACTTTGGACACGTACTTAGTTTTAGGCCCAGGTAGTAAATCCAAGCCGTAGGTCAAGACTTATCGATCAAAAAATAATGGACAAAGTTGAACTACTTTTGAACTTTCGGCACGTTTCACGTTATTGATATAGATTTTCAATATTTCAGTCCTTGCATACTATACATTCATTACTAACATAAACAAACCGTGAATATCTAGTTAAAGGTTTTAATGACTCCCACAAAAGAAAAACAGAAAACACTTATTCATGCCTAAGTAACATTATTATAATATAAAGGTAACCAATCAAATTAAAAGTAATTAATATTATTTTTCTTTTAACAATTAAAATTGGTTTTATCTTTCGGATTAGGAAGTACTTTTCTAAATTATAATTTATTAAATTATGCAACAAGAAATACATTTTGATGACTTCATGCCCACCTACAAAAATCAATTAAAGATACCACTTAATGTTTCCATAAAATATTTATGAATCAAACATTTTATGACAAGAAAAAATGTAAAACCTTTTTTAATGAAAAAACTACAATTATAGTTTTTTGTTGGCGTCCGTGTTTAAAAATTGTCCGCCCAGATCCACAAGCAATTACCAAAAAATCAAATAAACCCAAATGCAATGCATTTTCAACCGACCCCATTTCAATAACATATTCAAAATAAATTGTATATAATTTATTAAATAATTGAACATTTCTATGTATTTGATACAAAACGTCATCAGTACAGTAATGCAGTTAAGATATACAAAGAGATAGATGCAAAATGCGTAGATACAAATGCTTATCTATGGATATGTAAGACCTTTTCTTCATACAAAACTTCGTATTTCATAATTTAACCGGAATGTGCCATAAGAATCCTAAGAGAGTAATTGCAAAATTTATACAAAAAAACAAAAAAATATAAACAAAACAAAAGTTGGAAATTGGTTTGGTATAATCGATAGCTGGACAAGACCAAAGTTGGAATGATTCCTTGAGGAGGGAATGCAATTGTAGCGAAGGGTGGTGGGCATAAGGAATGACTTACAACTAGAAAGTACTAGGCGTGTATAAGTTATTGCAATTGTAATTTATAATTATTATAAATAGTTGCGGTAATTGTGGGTTTTACTAGTTGGCTCGTATGGTCCGATTCTTGTTCATATTGGTCAACATCAACGAAATATATGAAGTCAGCAGATCGTCCATCTTGTAGCCCAGCGACGTTTCGCATAACAGTTTCGAGCCCCTCACCAGATTGCCGATGGTCATGTGGAAATATGTGTTGCCCGACGACCAATTCGAGATGCGTGTAAACGGATGCGTGACCAAAATGTCCTGCAAAGAAAAATTTGGGGAAAATGGCATTAAATGTGTTTATGTATGTAACAGCATAAATATATAACGAGTATTTAGATAACATACGCTTATATCAAATTCTGTTCAATACATATGTGAAAAATATAATTAAAAGAATGTAAAAGTTCTTACCTTAGTCACTGGATGTATGAGACTCACGCCGTGTTTATTAATGGCTATCAGTAGCATTTCGGGATAGTTTGGTTCGGTGGTTTGTTTCACCTCGAAGAAAGCGGAACCAAAGGTTGGCCATCTGTTCAAACAAAAACTTGTCGTTAAGAAAACCGAATTCAAAATGTACTTTTTTAAACATACCTATATACAATCTTTAAGAAGGCCACCTTGGCATCTTCCGAAGTCATGCCGCCATCCTGATTATAGGAGGCCACAATCGATCGTTTCCATTCGCTCGTGCTCTGCATTTTTGTAATATCCGATGGAATGAGCTCCCTCAGCATTTGCCTAGAGAATAATAATAAGATTAAATATCGGAAAGCAGCAAAATTTAATTTCTACATACGGTATGGCCTGCAGTTCTTGTTTATTTTCACCGAAGCGCACGCGGAAGACGAGAGCAGCCAGCTTGGCCGCCTCCTCCCTGGAACACTTGTGATAGCCGCGCAAGAGCTTGGGCAACTCCTGATGATAGTGGAAAATGAGATCGGCATTGCGATCCTTGCCTGGCACTGTGTTCGTCCACAATTTCTTCATGAAGAAGACCTGATAGGTGAACTGCGGGTTCGCTCCATCTCGAATCGGTCGCGCCTTCTTTATCCAGTCGGTAAGGTGGCGTACGAAATCGAAGAAGAAATCACCTTCGGGCACCGAAATAACCTTATCAGCAATCTTCACAAACAGGGAGAAGCCCTCGCTGGTGCGCAGCGATAGTCGTTGTGAGATGTTGTTGCAGAAGTCCTTGGCCCGCGTGGAGCTGTCCACTTCGAAGGCTTCGTCCGTGTCATCCGGGAAGTAGACCTTGTGGAAGATCTGAGTGGTTTTGTGCTGTATGGCCTCCACTTCCACCTGGTGAGGTGGATATTTGCGTTGTCCATGGCGTATGGTCTTCTGCAGACGATGCATTGAGTCCTACCAATCGAATTTATGATAGTATCAACAAAAGTTATATTAAACTTAATAAAAAATTAAAATTACCTGAGAGATGGGATGGCGCCGACTGCGCAGAAACAGTAGCAATTCCTTGAGCAAACCCTGTGAGCAGGCAAACAATCCCGTGGCCAACCACATCAGCTCCCAACCCCTCTCCTCGGACATTCGGTTGCGGTTGTCCGTCAACTGCTTCATCAGTTGACAGTAGATCTCATCCCGCAGAATCTCGTGCTTAAGCGGTCCATCGAAAATGTGATCCGTGATTTCGTTACCCATCCGCGGTCGCTTGGATGGCAGATCTCCCATGTACTTCAGTATGGCGGCAAAGGCGAAGCAGGCTTCCTCGGCGAACTCCTCTTTGCTCTGCAACTTTCGTAGCAGCGGCGCCTTGATGGGATCCCTGCCATAGCGCCACAATTCCTCACTTCGTTTCGAACTCAAGGTGAGTGTCTTGGACATGGTACGCTTTGGCGGCAAACGGAAGTGATCAAGGGCGTATTCCATCAACGTGTGTGGTCGATCCCGTGGCTCCACCGCACCGCCATTGGAGGCCATGCTTAGCCGGCGGCCATGATGCGCCTCTTCGATGTTGAACAGGGCGAGAATATCTTGAGGGGGTTTACTTAGCGTGGGCAGAACATAGACGGTTTCGGCGGGGAAATCACCGCGCTCCTGCGACCGATCGCAGCGTCCTATGCACCAGCCATTGTTCAGTACTGATTCGCCACAGGATTCGTCCTCTAATATGATCAAATCACCCTTGAAGAAGGATAGAAAACTCGTTCCATCCGAGGGTGCACGATAGTCCTGCAAGGCTATGACAAATTTGGAACTGAAACAAAGAAATGTTTTTAATAAAACCAAGGTTTTAGATATTGACTTAGATTACTCACCGCTTTTTCAGGCCATCTAAGAAGTAGACAACCAAATCCCGAATATCCTCAGCATTTGGACTCTGGAACGTGAACTCCTCTCCTCGAACCGTGGATAAACTGAAAGTTTGGGTAAACACTTTGTTGGTCTTCTGACTGGAAACGGCAGTAATCTCTGGGAAGCTCAGTTCTAGCAGGACCTGCTCCTGGTCGTCCACCACATAGACGCCCGTCCAGTTGACAGCAATAATGACATCGTTCTTGGGCAGATTCGGACCTGAGTTACGATAGGCTTCGTAGAAACGCGAAAAGAGCAGAGGCCACTTGTATTTGGCATAGCTAACGATATCCTCCTTGATCTTCAGCGGCGCAATCTTATCCTTCACGTAGTAGGATTTCTTATAAGCTTGCAAAACCAGAGCGGCCCAACGTTCAATGGCCTTATCCACACCACTGAGGCAGAAGTCGGGTATAAAGTTTGGCAGCAGGGTGAACAATCTCTCCATCGACATGTCGGTGGAGTATTCGATAAAGTAT